TCAACCGTTGCGTATATTAGCTGCGACATATGAATCAAGATGCTATGACCGAAAAAATCTGATTGACAGATGACCATTGATATATGATTGGCTAAATTTAGGTGTTCAGGCTGACGTAGAACTAACTGGCCTGCAGAAGATAACGAAAGAAAAAAACAGATTTTATTTTTTTCTAAATTTTGGGACAATAGTCATCTGATAAAAGTACATTTGTATAAATGTTTAAGCCAGAATGATTTGATGTTTAAATATGATTTCCCTCCGAGTTTAAGACCAACTTCACAATAAACACAAGAAAATCTTAACCTGATGCTTATTTGAACATAAACCATTACTTTCTAGCCCAGTAGAAATGTTCACAATTTTGAAAAACTTTCCATATATGAAGAAAGCTAAACAATTAATGAATGGAATTCACTAATTTGATCCCTACTCAAAGTCCATAATAGCTCTGCTTTCATTGTAGGCCAACCACCAAACATTATGGGAGATTGCTGCAGACGCCTTGCAGAGACAAGGGTGGAACAGAAGTGAGAAATCAGTAACTTCATGATTTGTTTTTCCACTCTTCACATGTTTGACTCCACAGCTTCGATTCCCATCGCGCCGAGGTTGAATGACTTCTTGCTAAAAATACGCCATTACCCTCTACTGTTTTTAGCCATGCAGAAAACTATTGGCTGGATAGACAATTTAATTGAATTTACACTTCCCCACATAAAAAAAAGTTAATGCCACATCACCCCAAGGTCTGTTTGCAACATCGTTTTTATTGCTTCTGCTGTCAGGATGGAACTAATAATGGTTCCAGTTAAGCCGTTCGGTAAATGTCAAAAAATTGTCGTGAATTATTTAAATTTTTTTATATGAACTACAAAAATAAAATCCTATTTATGAGTTTTTGATAATTCTAAGACCTATGAAAGACTGGTTTTAGACATTTTAATATAAATTAAGGCCTTATTTTCATATTGAATTTAATGTCTTTAAGACTTTTTAAGGATCTGGAGGAACCCTGTGAAAGGAGGGTCGTTAAAGGGAATTGTTGGCTTTTGTTTGGCTGCTGGATAAAACCTGGAACTAAACGCTATTTCTGACATTTTGAATTGAAAAAGCTTCATGGATGGAAGAGAAACNACTCAATGGGAAAGGAAAGGATTCTGGTTTCAACCGTTGCGTATATTAGCTGCGACACATGAATCAAGATGCTATGACCGAAAATGTTTGATTGACAGATGACCGTTGATATATGATTGGCCGAATTTAGGTGTTCAGGCTGACGTAGAACTAACTGGCCTGCAGAAGATAACGGAAAAAACACAGATTTTAATTTTTTCTAAATTTGGGGACAATAGTCATCTGATAAAAGTACATTTGTATAAATGTTTAAGCCAGAATGATTTGACATTTAAATATGATTTCCCTCCAAGTTTAAGACCAACTTCACAAGAATCTGGATGCCACAAATTTAACCTGATGCTTATTTGAACACAAACCATTACTTTCTAGCCCAGTAGAAATGTTTACAATTTTGAAAAACTTTCCATATAGGAAGAAAGCTAAACAACTAATGAATGGAATTCACTAATTTGATCCCTACTCAAAGTCCATAATAGCTCTGCTTTCATTGTAGGTGAACCACCAAACATTATGGGAGATTGCTGCAGACGCCTTGCAGAGACAAGGGTGGAACAAAAGGGAGAAATCAGTAACTTCATGATTTGTTTTTCCACTCTGCACGTTTGACTCCACAGCTTCGATTCCCATCGCGCCGAGGATGAATAACTTCTTGCTAAAAATACGCCATTACCCGGTAATGTTTTTAGCCATGCAGAAAACTATTGGCTGGATAGACAATTTAATTGAATTTACACTTCCCCACATTAAAAAAAAGTTAATGCCACATCACCCCAAGGTCTGTTTGCAACATCGTTTTTATTGGTTCTGCTTTCAGGATAGAAATAATAATGGTTCCAGTTAAGCCGTTCGGTAAATGTCAAAAAATTATCGTGAATTATTTAAATTTTTTTATATGAACTACAAAAACAAAATTTATGAGTTTTTGATAATTCTAAGACCTATGAAAGACTGGTTTTAGACATTTTAATATCAATTAAGGCCTTATTTTCATATTGAATTTAATGTCTTTAAGACTTTTTAAGGATCTGGAGGGACCCTGTGAAAGGAGGGTCGTTAAAGGGGATTGTTGGCTTTTGTTTGGCTGCTGGATAAAACCTGGAACTAAACGCTATTTCTGACATTTTGAATTGAAAAAGCTTCATGGATGGAAGAGAAACGCCTTCAAACTTGGAAACAAAGTCCAGTGGATTGATTTTAATTTTAATTTTTGTTTTTATTTAATGAATGTTGCAAAAACAGGCACATTTG